TATTATTATTATTATTATTATTATTATTATTATTCCAAAAAACCCAAAATGTTTTTCATCAGTGGCTGAGACAGTGACTCTTTTGCTTCCTGGGGGTTCGATGTACACAAACTTTGTTACATGCCCAACATTACTTTAAATTATCGTATAAAGTTACCTTCCGGCTATGGGTATGGGAGGCATATGAAACATATATGCATGTTGTGTTTAGACTTGGGTCCCATCTCCAAGGTATTTCATTATGTACATATATGCAAATTGTAGGAAAAACAACACTTTAATCCATTTTTTACATCAAGACTGACAATGCGGACTCCAGACTCACAGTGGCTTTTTAAAGATATAGCCGTGTTAGTCTGTCGAATCAGTATGTAGAGAGATCTTGCAGCACCTTTGAGATTCACTGAAAGAAAGAAGTTGGCAGCATGAGTTTTCGTAAACTTCAGTCTACTTCCTCAGATGCATTTGGTGGCCTACAGTGGCTTTTTATGACAGCAGTGTGGTGAATTTGCTCCAGACCAATTTAAAGAGTTGAACCCTTAGTGCTAAAGTATGTTCAGCACCTTGGATAGCGCCTTTAAAGTCTGGAAGAGGCATAGAATCAGAGTTGAAAGAGACCCCAAGGGACATCCAGTCCAACCTCATGCTGCCATGCAGGAATACACAATCTGAGGCAGTGTCTTCCACTATCAAACAACTCTTATTGTCAGGAAATTCTTCCTAATGTTTAGGTGGAATATATTTTCCTGTAGTTTGCATCCATTGTTCCTGGTCCTGTTCTCTGGAGCAGCAGGAAACAACCTTGCTCCATCTTCAATATAACATCCCTTCAAATGCTTAAATAGGGCTGTCATGTCCCCTCTTAAGCTCCTCTTCTCCAGGCTAAATATACCTAGCTCCCTAAATCACTCCTCATAGGGAATGGCTTCCATACCTTTCACCATTTTGGTCACCATTCTCTGGATATGCTCCAGCTTGTCAAAATCTTTTTTGAATTGGGGTGCCCAGAACTGGACACAATATTCCAGGTGAAGGCTGATTTAAGCATGATGCTATTTCTTCCATCAATCTAGACATTATACTCCTACTGATGCAGCCTAGGATCATATTAGCTTTTCTAGCTGCCGCATCACACTGATGACTCGTGTTTAGCTTGTCCTCTACTAAGAGTCCCAGATCCCTTTCGCATGTACTCTTGTCAAGCCAGGTGTCCCTAATCGTATATTTGAGCCTTTAACTCTCTTAATCTGTTAATCTGTCATTTTGGATCCCGATCCTCTCCCCTAAGGTATTGGCTACCCTTCCTAATTTGGTGTCATCTACAAATTTGATAAGCAGGCCCTCTATTCTTTCATCCATGCCATTGATAAAGATGCTGAATAGAACTGGGCCCAGGACAAAACCCTGATGGATAACACATGGTCTGGGAGATTTGAGAGTGTACCCTCGAATAGGGACAACCCGGATTAATCCTTTGCTATCCTACTTTTTCTGCAGCTTCTAAAATGTCCCACTTTCTCTCACCTCCTCCCACTTTCTCTCTTTGTCCTCAGCTTTGCTCCAATTGCTGCAAACTGAGTCCAGAGTCTAAAAAGTAGGTTGCAGTCAATTAATTCAGCAGCAGAGAGGAAGGGGTGAGACTTTACCTTTCCCAGTAAGATCAGGCAAAAACAAACTGCTGCACTCTCTCTTAGCTTGTGTGTTTTTACTTGTTGTGGTTGTTGTGTACCTAAGGCAAACCTATCATGGGGTTACTTTCCCCACTTTGACCACACTCTGATGTTGCTCGGCCACATGTTGCTTTGCACTACAAAATGATTGCAAAGTTTGGACACAGGTTTGCTGAAAGTTAAACAGTATTGATTTTTGCGTGTTAATGAAGAACTCCAATTTTAAAGTATCCCATAGTCTCCAACTGTCCCAAGGAGAGACCCGGTTATTCCTCTGTTGTCCCACTTTTTCAGCTGCTTTGAAAAGGTCCCAGTTTCCCTTTCCTCTTCCTTTGTCCTCAGTTTACATCAGCCGCTGCAAACTGAGTTTGGCATGCAAAAGTAGTTTGCACTCAGTTAACTCTGCAGAGGTGGGAGGAGAAGAGGAAGGAGAGTCTTACCCTTCCTGGAAAACTCAGGCAAAAGGGAACTGCCACAGCATCTCTGAGTTTTGGTCATCTTCTGCATTAATAATATTTGCCATGTTAACCACAGTCTGTAAAATGTCGTACATGAGCAGGGCAAGGAGATTGCTTTTTGGAGGCCCTGCCTTGAGGATCCAGGGAGAAGACAAAGCACTCTACACTGGAAATGGTTAACACTTGATCAAATCCGAAGCCATCTGCTTTAAAGACTTTATTTTGACATAACAGTTCTTACCAAAAAAAAAAAAAAACCATGAGAAAAGCCAACAGTCACCAGAAATGCTATCATCCTGCCTCCCAAGAAAGTGGTGTTTACTATTTAGATGCGACAACAATATTTTGTGGCAAACCCCTTATACATCCATCTATCCCTTTCTCGATCAATCCAGAGGTATGGAATAAAGACACAACACAGAATGCCATTAAGCAAAGACCTTCTCATTGAAATTGGACTTAAACAAACTGGGCAAGAAGGATGTGCGACAGGCATGTTGTGGTTTTAAAACACACAGTGGACTTAATGCATCTTTAATCATTTTAGATTAATGTTTTAATTACATTAATTCTTTAATGTTTTTAAAATCTTTGTGTTGTAAGCCCCACTGAATCCCATATTGGAAAAAAGCATCTGCGCTAGAGAAATAATGCAGTTTTGACACCACTTTAACTACCATGGCCCAATGCTATGCAATTTGTAGTTTGGTGGGCTTCTCTACCAGGGAAGGCTAAGTATCTCACAAAACTACAAATCCCAGAATTCCATGGCATTGAGCCAGGGCAGTTAAAGCAGTGCCAAAAGCAGTGCATTATTTCTGCAGTGCAGATGCAGCCAAAAGTTGTTGTCTAGTCCCTTTGAGTTGACTTATGACAACTCCATCCCAGGATTTTCTTGGGAAGATTTATTCAGAGGAGATTCCCCATTGCCTTTCTGTAAGACTGAGAAAGTATGACTTGCTCAAGGCTATGCAGTGGATTTCCATGGCTGAGTGGGGATTCGAACCTTGGTCTCCTGGAATCTTAGTCCAACACTCAAACCACTACACCATCCTGCCTTCTCCTCTGGGATAAAAGTACCCGCAGGTGGAACAGTGGGATCCAATAGAAATGGGAGTGTTCTCCTTTCCCATGGATGGGTGGGATTCGGGATTTTCTGTTCTGTTTAATGTATGGAAATTGTAATGTTGGAAGCTGCCCTGATTGCTTTGCAGAGGGGCGGGATATAAATAAAAATTATTATTATTATTATTATTATTATTATTATTATTATTATTATTATTATTATTCCCCTCAGCCTTGCCTCATGAATTCCCAAATAGCTGCTGTGCAAGGTTGAGTTTTTGGACAATATAGGACTATGGGGGAAGGAGGAGAAAAAGAAACAAAGTTCTACCGGTGTTGGATCTCAACCAAAGCAATGTCAGAAGGATGGAGGATGGAGAAAGAAGGAGAACAGGAAGACCAAAGAAGGTGAATTGCAAAGTTGGGGAACTTCAAGAGCAGCCAAGAGATTTGAGGTCAAGATGGGGTGGTATTCTTTGCATCATGGGTAGGGCAACTGCTTCTGCTCTGCATCCATCAGGGATTCTGGTGTTTCTTCAAAGTAGGAAGGTGACAATGATCATCCAAAACATCAGGAGGTAGGACAGTAGGCAAGAAGAGCCTGGAAGGGGTGCCCTCGGGGATCCGTTGCAAAGATCTCTGTCGCAACAATGGATCCGGACTCCTGGAAGCTCTTGTTGTTGGCAGTGACGGGATGTGGCACATCCGCTGGTCAAGAGGATTCCCAAGACCACTGACCAGGCAGAGAGAAAGAGAGAGACAGCGATCCATTAGAAGAAAGAAAGCAACAGCCTACTTAGGGATAGCTTGCAAATGCGTGCACGATTTGCAAAAATGCAGCTACAAACATAGAATCATAGAGTTGGAAGAATCCCCAAGGGCCATTCAGTCCAACCCCTTTCTGCCATGCAGGAACTCAAAATCAAAGCAGCCCCAACAGATGGCCATCCAGCCTCTGTTTAAAGACCTCCAAAGAAGGAGACGCCACCACATGTTGGAACATGCTGTTCCAATGTGAAGGTAGGGGATGGATAATCAGGAACAGCGTCAAGATAACTTTATTTCAATTGATTTATTCCTTGATAGATAAAAGCCTCAGTTTCTTTATATTTATTCACACAATATTGTCAAAGTCGACAATATGTTTACCACATTTCCTTAAGAAGAGGCCCCCTTCAGGTTGTGAATGATGTCTGTTTGTCATAGCACATGCTCTTCCTCGCCTGCAAATAGTGTGCTTTGTGCTTCTAGCTGATCGTGAGAACACAGGATTCATTTACAAACCTGAGTTCTGAGCCACAAATCGCCAAGGAAATCCAATTTATGGAAAGTTGTCAGTTATACAAAATGCACTTCCCATGTAATGTCTAACTTGAAACCTAAGCCTCCCATTCTCCCAGCCAAATGGTTGATACTGGCTTGTTGGAAGAATTGCCAGAACCAGTAACCCACTAATCTCTGGGGGTTTTGTGGGGTTTTTGGGGGAGCTATGTAGCTGTGTTCTAGAAGATTTTATTCCTGATAAAATCTTCTAGAACACAGCCACAAAGCCCCCAAAAAACCCACAAAGAACCATGGATGCCGGCCATGAAAGCCTTCGACTTCACTACTAATCTCTGCTTGAGGCGGCCAGAAGACGCAACTCACAAAAACTACAAATCCCTGAATTCCATAGCATTTTTGAGCCACAGCAGTTAAAGCAATGCCAAATTGCATTAATTCTGCCGGGCAAAAAGCAGCCTGTGCTGAAATAAAATAAAGAAACTCTTTGGTTTGCAACTCACCGCTTTCCATCTTAATGCAAAACCTGTGCTTGAAACCTTGGTGCGAATGAGAACAAGTGATCACTTCCGGACTGGTACAACCTGTGTCAACAGACCTGCTGCCGACGATAATGTTGCAGCCATAACACTGAAGGCCTGCAGCTTAAGGAGGAGAAGAAACAGGATTGTGAATGGAGGATCTGAATGGACATCTCCCTCCCTCCCTCCCTCCTTCCTTCCTTCCTTCCTTCCTTCCTTCCTTCCTTCCTTCCTTCCTTCCTTCCTTCCTTCCTTTCATGGGAGCAAACATTTCAGTTAGCCATTCATCAAAAGAGATTGCTGCTGAACTCACTATTTAATCTGGAACTGGCATCATTTGTTCCTCCCCTTTTGCACTACCAGCCAGCCAACAAACTTATCTTCCAGGGGTTTTTAATTTTATTTTATTTTATTTATTAAAATTTCTACAAACATACAGATACTACAACATAAATACACATACCAAAGACATAACAAAACATTCATTATAAAAGTTATAAAAGTTTCAGGTATCCTCACTTACGTCCGTATCGTTTACAATATCAGTTCCTTGTAAAATCATAAGAAATATATATTTAAATATGTTCGTTGATAATCATATACCCATCATATTCTTTTTTAATTGACACATCTTCCAGGGTTTTTAATTTTATTCACTACCTTGTCCTCTGAACTTTACTCAGACTCAGCAAATGGTGACTTTTAAAAAAATAAAGCATTAAAACACAATTGCAAGTTCTTCCCATCCTCTATGAACCAGCAAAATGATCCCAAGGTGTCTTTCTGCTCCATCCCTTGAATTTATTTCAGTGCCACAATCGGGGTTTTACTGAGTGGTTTCCTTTTTGGACTCCGCACAGTCCAGACTTTCTATGCTTTACTCTAAGAATAACGGAGGGAATAAATGTTTGTGTGCCATCAATGTAAGAAGATTCCAGGTTGCAAGTAGGACAATAAAAGTTATTAATGGGAATGAATTATCTTTAGGGAATGATTGTTTTTGTTGTATTTAGAATAGAATAGAATAGAATAGAATAGAATAGAATAGAATAGAATAGAATCATAGAAGTGGAAGATACCACAAGGTCCATCCAGTTGTTGTTGTGTGCCTTCAATTAATAATTAATTAATTATTATTATTATTTATATCCCGCCCCTCTGCAGAGCAATCGGGGCGGCTTACAACATTAAAATTTCAATGACAACAAGATATAAAATATAATTATAGCAATAACAACATGGATAATTGTAATAATAGCAGTAACCACAGCATATAAATAAATATAATAATAGTAATAAATAAAGATAATGATATAAATAAAGATAATAGCAATAACAACAACAGTAATAGCAACAACAGCTGTGCATAAATGAAGGCACTGAGTTCAGTAGGGGAAGAGTCCCAAGGAATATTGCACATGGACACTATTACTATTATTATTATTTTATTATTATTAACATTATTATTTTTTATTATGTTGACTCAAAGGTGGACCTATGATGGGATTGTCTTGGCAAGGTTTGTTCATAGGAGGTTTGCCATTGCTTGGACAACTAGTATTTCTTGCTCCACCACCCCATACTTTGGATTAAAAACACGGATAACTCAAAACAATACAACATCACTGGCAAAATCCATTTCCCCTCTAGTTATTCCCAGTATTGCACCTAAATGGAGAAGGAGGAATGGGAGTCATCTACTCATCCAATAAGTCCCAGGGTTTCATCCCTACAAAGCCTGGCTCTACTATATCACTGGCCAATGTTCTTTCTGTCCAGTAATGCCTGAAGAATATCAACTCTTAGGAACTGTATAAGCTATTGAGGCAGTTCAGCTGGTATAAAACTCTGTGCAGAGCCAAGAAATGCCTTTACGTTGAACACAGTGGCCTAAATACAATGGTCGGTGCCCAGCTAGAGTAAACTAACTAAATCAATGGAATGCATGTAAGTCTTGATTGACAAAAGTTCCCATTGATTCAGTGAGCCTACTTTCGTTGGGACTAACATTTGGATTGCGGCCAGTCTTTCCCGAGGCAGTCGGCTTGGCCCTGGTTAGCGGGCAGAAAGCACAGGGCTTGGAGCGCTGTTTTGTAAAATTTAATTAGCCAGCATTGATCATTGCCAAGGCAGCAATCAATTTGTTGCTGTTAACACGTGCATGCCTTGTTAATTAAATCATTGATTAAATGGCTAGTTTGCAAAGAAACTGTTGAAATTACAGAACGTGGCATCTTTGGTGAGCTTCGCTGCCCCCTAGTGGGACATTTTGTTTTTGCCATCTTCAAAAGTATACACAGTTGGCCCTCCACATTTGCATTTCCGACTTTTTGCGGATTTGATTATTTGCTGTTTTGTTTAATACGCTCTCTTCTAGGAATCTCTAGGTCCTCCAGCTCAACTCTGCCAGAATTTGACCATAGAGTTGTGCTGGAGAACCTAGACCAAGGGTAGGCAACCTTTCCCCTTTAAGGGCCGAGGGACTTCAGCTCCCAGAAGCCTCAGCCATGGTGGCCAATAGTCCCATGTTGGCCAATAGCTCCTGGGATTCTGGGAGCTGAAGTCCCTCGGCCCTTGCCTACCCCTGACCTAGACGTTCCTAGAGAAAACACTTTTCTAGGCATTTGTAGGTCTTCCAGCATGATTCTATGATCAACTTTGGGCAGATGTTAACCACAGAGTTGGACCTGGAGATTTCTAGAGGGGTATTCTCTTTATGTGGGACTTTCCCACATTCACAGGGGTCTTTCACCCCTAACCCCAGCAAATGTGGAGGGACCGCTGTAGTTTTCCCTAGTCTGGGAGTTTCCGTTGGACAACGGCCCCCACCATTTAACTGAAGGCTGAGGATGGTGGGATTTGTAGTGCAAAGCCAGGTGGAGGAAGACTTTTCAGTGTCATTCACTGGGAAGAAAAGGAGAAATGGATTAGTAAATAAGTTGTTAAACCTGACCAGTTATTTCCGTGCTCTGAAGCATCACCAATGAGACGAACAGATTAAGCCTTGTTGGCAGAAGAGTTAATTACTTGAACCATAACCAGTTAGATTTAATTCATTGCTTCCAAGCTCTGGCAAAGTGTTACACAACACAAGAAATACTACCCTGCACAAGTTTCATTTCTTACCAAAGGATGGGGACAGAAGAAAGAAAATCAACACTAAGAATGCTCACGTGGGAAGAAAGGATCATCTTTATGCTCAAAATTGCAATTTTGCCTTTGGCAAAGTTATTCTACATTCTGCGCTGGGTAAACCTGAACTCTATCACCTGGATGGATGGATTATGTAAATCTAGCCCAGCTGCCAAACTTTGCAGAATGCATTCTGCTTTAAGAGCCTTAAAAGATACCGCTACCGCGTCTCATTGCTTCTCGTAATCCTTGCTAAATTCTCCAGCCAATCTACAAATTTTACTAGCCATTGACACCGGCAGTTTTGGAAGTGACAGGTTCCCCCCTCCCCAAAGTTGCATTTCCATGCTCTGTTTTTGTTTTGTTGTTGATTGCTGTTGTTGATGTTAACAACATCAGTATGGAGCAAAGGAGCACACTAGAAAAGAAAAAGGGAAATATTAAAATGCAGTCTGAGAGCATGGAGGACTGAGATATTGGGAAAGGTTGAAAGATCTGGGCATGTTCAGCCTGGCAAAGAAGAGACTTGAGGAGTGGCCCAAATGTCCTCTTTAATTATCTTAATGGCTATCATAAAGAGAAGGAATCAGCTTTGCTCTCTGCTGCCTTTGTTCTCACAGTTTGAAGTTACAGGAGGGTAGATTTCCATTGAACATTAGAAGGAAACTCATGAATGTAAGAGCAGTTCATCAATGGAACCAATTGCCTAGACTGCAGTGGTTCCCAACCTTTGGTCCTCCAGAAGTTTTGGACTTCAGCTCCCATAATTCCTGACTGTTGGCCAAGTTGGTTGAGGCTTCTGGGATCTGAAGTCCAAGACAAGTGGAGGACCAAAGGTTGGGAACCATAGGGGCCCTAGAAAAGTCTCTTTTTCTGGAGGTCTTCTGGAGCTCCCTGCTGGAGATGTTCTACCTGGAGATCCTCCATTGAGCCATGGGTTGAACTCAATGGCCCATGAGGCTCTTTCCAACTCTATGGTTTTATGACTTGACAAGGATGGGAAAGCCAACAAGTCACCAATGTATGTCTGTGCCATCAAGTTGCCTGTCAACATGTGGTGACCCCATGAACATCAGAGGGTTTTCTTGGGCAAAGAAGACCCAGAGATGGTTTTGCCAGTTCCTTCCTCTGAAATATAGCCTATGGCAACTGGTACTTGCTGATGATCTCCCATCTGAGTACTAAGCCACCTGCATTCGTGGATGGGAGACCAGCAGCAAATACCAGTTGCCATAGGCTATATTGCAAAGGAAGGATCTGGCAAAACAACCTGCTTAGCTTCCAGGATCCGATGGAATCTGGGAGTTACCAGGGGTGCATCTACACCATCAAAGTAATGCAGTCTGCCCCCACTTTAACTGCCATGGCTCCATTTGACAGAATCCTGGGACCTGTAGTTTGGTGAGGCATGCGCACTCATGGGCAGAGACCGCCTTGCAAAACTACAAATCCCAGGATCCTATAAGTTGGAGCTGCGACACTTAAGAAGGAGCCCATCCGCATTATTTTGACAGTGTAGATGCACCCCGGTTCCGAGGCATCATTTGAATGGGGTATACTTTTTAAAATCAATAAATTTAAAAGCACTCACCAAGTGGAAGCAGGAAAGAGGCTGTCAGCAGAGAACATATCCCATAGGCAGCAGTTCCAAACATGGGTCCCACCACCATTGGAGGCCCGATCCAAGGGTTTGAGCTCTTGCTTCTTTCTTTATTTTAAAACCAATGTTGTTTTGGAAGACTAAGCAAAGGCCAGATTAAACCACGCCACGCACCACAGTCTCCATTCACAGGGACCGTGCCATCTTCACTGCACATCCCAGATCCACAGAAACCTCTTGAAGGACCTGCCTCTGCGGACGAGGCACCTTTCGCTTGAATCTCTCCAAACTGGTGCAAGAAAGGAGCACACGTACGCCACCGCCACCCCCTGTTCCTTTTCCTCCACCACCTCCTCAGAAATTTGCCTTGTCAACAAACAGACGCCAGCATGTGTGTGTGTGTGTG